AAAAATATGAGAAAAGGAAAAAAATGGAAACAAAGTTTTTGCAAATAGGGAAGGGTGGAGGGGGTGAAGGGAGGCCAGGGGAATGGGAAAAACATAAGAACTTAGATACTCATGCAAAGTTACAAGATCCCAATGATGAATGAATCTGTATTTTATACCTAAAATGTACCAATAAACTTAATGGTAAAAAAATGCTGCCAGGATTGTGGGGGAAAAGGAACCATTCTCCACTATTGGTGGGAGTGTAGACTGCTGCAACCACTGTGCAAATAAGTATGTGGATAGTTCAAAAAAGTAGAATAAGAGGTCTCATTTTACCAAGCAATTCCCCTGCTGGATATCTTCTAAGAGAATTAAAAGCATCATACTACAGTGATATAGGCACACCCATGTTTATAGTAGCACAGTTTGTAATAGTTAAATCTTGGAAACAACCAAAATGCTCTTCAACTGGTGACTGGATAAAGAAGATATGTTTTTTTTAAAAAATAAAATGAACTACTACTCAGCCATAAAGAATGGGAAACTAGAAACATTTATAAATAAATGAATCCACATTGAGGCCATACTCTCAAATGAAATAAACAGAACACAAATGTGTGAATACCAAATCACTTATCTGGTGTGAAAACTGAAAGTGTAAATGAGGATCAAAATGTATAATAGCTAATGTGAAATAGGAAGAAAAAGTCCAAAGGGGAAGGGGAAGTGGGAGTGGTAGGAGAAAGGAAAGATGGGAAAGGAAAAAGATGAGAAAAGGAAAAAACAGAAGCAAAATCTTTGTAAATAGGCAGGAGTGTAGGGATTGAAGGGAGGGTAGGGGAATGGGTAAAAAAATAGGAATCAAGATATATCATGTAAAGATTCAAATTCCCAATGATGAATGTCATCATATTGTATATCTAAAATGTACCAATAAACTTAATAAATATAAAAAAGCACTTTGTGTTTCCCCAGTTTTATACTATTTTGAGCCAGAGACCAAGATAGAAGGAGATAAACTGAGGATTTAGGAGATAAGCAGAAGGAGGCTGTATTCTAAGAGGAAGAAACCTTCAGCCTGAGGATTAGATAAAAGACACTTGAAATAACAAGATTTCTAGTTTTAAGTGCTCATTTATGGAGTTGGCTAAACGTGAATTTACTGAAACTGTATCAAACTCTTAAGGCATATTTAAAGAAACTCCTTGTGAAAGCTCCAAATCCGCATGTCCATGAAGTAGAAGCAAAAGTAGAATCTCCCCTAAAGTGATGGATGTTGGGTGTGACCCCAAGGGAGACAACAGGGAAGGGCTCCCAGAGAATAAAGCAAGGGCAGTGGCTTTGGTCACCTAAAGGAACTCTAGCAACTGCAGTTCAGAAGCCTCATTCTTCCTAATTAGCAGAATCTTAGCCATCTCCTGGGCAAGTGGCCAGCATTGTCAGGCAAGGTCAGTACACTTTAATCTATGGAACTAAGCCCATAGCATTCTGTGGTGCTAAGGGATGAACAAGCTCCATGCACTTGGCTGTAGGCTCATGGTCACAGAGGGGCAGAGCCCTAAGGCTTAGGTATGCAGACTCACCATAAGGCCCATGGGCATTTCAATGATGTAAAGGTCCACATAATCCAGCTTGAGTTCCTGGAGTGTCTTCTCCAGGGTTGGGCGGACCATCTCTGGTTCAAAGAATGTAGCCCACAGCTGAAAGAGTCATAGGAGAGGTTAACTAATTTCCACACTAATTTTACATTTATGCAGCTCTTTACTCTTTGCAAAGCACACTTTCCATTTCACAGAAATATGTGCATGTTGCAATGTCATGAAAGTGTAAGATAAATCAGTGGCTCCTGGGCATCAAGTCTGACTTTATCTGAACATAGTACATGAAGATAAAGATCTATCTGGACCCAGAAAACCTGACTTGATAACAGTCTTCCCAAGGCAGCAGTAATTTCCTAATTGACTCTTCCATTTTTGCTTTTCTCCATTGTGTAACCAGAGAACATGTCTCTGGTAAGAGGTGCTGAGCCTGCTTGGAACTTTATTTTCATGTCACTCTGATAAAATTGGAATAAGCATCAGAAATGGTCATGTGTGTAGCCTCAGTGGATCTGTTGCTTAGTAAGAGACAATGCAGTGACCCAGTGACATCTTATTGCACAGAAGTTGATTCTCCTTCATAGCTCTTTTGTTCTCATTTGGTCTTACCAAGTCCTCAAAGCAACTCTGTTAATGCTTACTAAGAATGTACTGATGTTCAAAGCATTGCATAGCAACAGACTAAGGTTGATTCATCATACTGTGGCATGGGTACTGTAGGTGTGTAAAACAGAGTGACAGGCAGTACTCAGACCCATGGGATGAACTAGTACATCTTGCAGCATTCATTTTGCTCAAGGATTTTGTTTTTGAAAAATGTTTTGAGTTTTGTAACCTTTTTTTTTATGAGAAAGAAAAGTAAAATGGGTGAAATATGATTTTTTTTCTTTGTTGGACAATGATTTTTTTTTTCTTGCCTTAAAAGCGCAAGGAAGAGAAAACAATGTGGAGAGAACAGTGGGGAAACATGTTGTAATTACTGTTTGGTGCTTTTTGTGCCACCCTATCCAAGTGAAAATTCTGTTTTATATGTACATAAGCAGGGCAATTGAACCCATGGGCACTCTACCACATAATTGCACCCTTAGCATTTTTTATAATTTTATTTTCAGACATGTTCTTGCTAATTTGCCCAAGCTCTCCATGAATTTGCTATTCCCCTGCCTCAGCTTCCTAACTAGCTGAGATTACAGGGATGCGCCGTCACACCTGGCTTATATTATATATTAATTTACTTGTATTCAACAAATAGATACAGTATTAGCTTTGTTCCAGGTACCATTTAAATGCTTTGTAAAAGTTAACACATGAAATGGCTAACAACATTATCTTCATTTTACAGGGAGGGAAACTGACATACAGAAATGCTAAGTAATTTCCAGCTAGTAGTGATAAATCTGAAACATACAGCTAATACTTACATATATTATTTTACATTATAGGTTATGGGGACCATAAATTATGACCTGGATAATCTAGCACCAAAGTCTGTGCACTTAACTATTATCTTAGTTATTTTTTCATTGCTGAGACAAAATATCCAACACCCAAAGCTAAAGAAGGAAAGGTTTATTTGGCTCATAGTTTATAGCAGTTTCAGTCCATAATTAGCTGGCTCCAAGGCACGGTGGTATGGTAGATAGACATTGCAGAAGAGAATCAGTTCATGGCAGGAAGAAGGCAGGAAAGCAAACACAAGACTGTAGCAGCCTCTTTCTGACGCTTTTATACCCTAGGCTACTGGGATTAGGGGATTGCGAAGCCAATCAGTGGATTGATTTAGTAATCACACACTCTTAATCCCAGCATCACACACTCTGGATCTATCCACCTCTGTAAAAGCCCCACTTATGATTGCATGAAGCATCAGGGGGACATCTAGATGCAAACCATAACATTCTACCTTTGACCCCCCAAGGACTCATGTATATTCCTTTATGAAAAAGGCATTTAGTCCATCTCTAAGAATTGCAAAATTCCTAACAGTTTCAGCATTGCTGAAAAGTCCAAGTCACAAGTCCTTGGGATTTAAGGCAAACTTTTAGATATGAGCCCCTGTACAAATGAAAAGAAAGGTAAACACTTCCAACATACAATGACACAAGACAAACATTACCATTCTAAAAGGCATAAATAAGAGGATACAAAGGAATAGGACCAAAACAAGTCCTAAATCTAGCAGGGCAAATATTAAGTCCTGTAGTTCCATATGTACCATCTGGTGCAATTTGTGGCAAGATGTGAATTCCAAAGAACTTGAGTGCCCCTAATGGCACTTCTGGTGGTTGTAGCTCCCATGGCTTCTCTCTTGGGCCAGCTCTGCTCCCTCCTTGCAGCTTTCCTCAGACAAGCCACCTTCTTGACTTCTCAAAACTTTTGGGGTCTCCACTGCACCATTAGCTTCATACTCACAGCTTCACACACTGTCCTCTCAGGGGCACACTGCCTGGCCTCCCAGGCCTTCTTCTGAAATTTGGGTGGAAGCCTTATTAACCCCACAATTCTTGAATTCTGCATGCCCCTAAAACCAGCACCACATGGATGACATCTTTGTTACCTGCCAGCTCGAGCAGTAGCCAGGCCTCCTTCTCTCTTGGTTGTAGAGATCAAGTGCTTATGAGGCAAATCCCAAAGAACAATTTCCTTGGGGTGCCAGCATTCTGGAGCATGGTGATTTTGGGCTTTCTTCTCAAAGCAAAGACTTCCAGCTTTGCAACTCTGAGGCTGCAAAGGCTGGAATCCTGCTGCTTCTTATGATGTCCTCAGGCCATCTTTTCTGTTCTCTTCTGAAATTCATGGCTTTTTCTTGCTAGGATTTTCAGTGACCTATTTCCCCTTTGTTCCATCTTTGTAGGCCACAACTTTACTGGAGATTTCTTTTTAGCCAAACTCAAAACATGTTAAATCATTCTGCTGGGCTCTTTGTTCTTGATTCTCAACATAGATCTGGCTAAAAGCCCCCAACAGTAGCCATACCACTGCCTCAACATTATTTTGTCTTGAAATTTCTTCTGAAAAATTAATTAGTCTGCCGCTTTAATCTCAAAGCAAAAGTCAGAGGCAAAATCTTCAGAGATGAGCAAAATGCAGGCAAACTTTCTGCCAAGCTATAACACAAATCATCTGGAGTCCAACAACCAATGCTTTCTTCCCAGCAGAAACCTCATGAGCCTGGACTTTATCACCATCATTTCTGTCAACATTCTTGTCTTCTGAGCTCTGACCAGAGTCTCCCATCAAGTACATCCTAAGGCATTCCAGTTGTACTTTTTCAGTCAGCATCACCAAACCTTTCCTAACTCTTCCCCTTTTCACAAGCCAGCTCCAAAGTATCATTAACCACATGGTCAGGTACAGTCACAGCAACAACCCCACTTCTCTTGTCTTAGTTACTTTTCTCATTTCTGAGACAAATTGCCCAACTCCTAAAGTTAAAGGAGGAAAGGTTTATTTAGATCACAGTTGGCAGAGGTGTCACAGTCCATAATCAGCTGGCTCCAAAGCAGGCTGGCACAGAAAGCAGGCATGGTAGAGGAGAAACAGTTCATGGTAGGCAGAAGGTAGAAAAACAAACAAGAGAGGATAACAGCACTTTCTATCCCTTATATCTTATATAGGCTACTTAGGGTGAGTGGCACTCACACCCTTAATCTTAACGCCCTTGAGCCTAGCATTGAGCCATGAATCAATCCCAGCATCACACACTCTAGGTCCAGCCACCTCTGAAAAAGCCCCACCTATGACTGCATGAGGCTTTGGGGAGACATCTAGGCCTAAACATAACAACCACTGCCTCACACCATCTTCCAGGCATGAGTTGAGTGGTACTGAAAACCAGTTTTACTAGAGCAACAGCAGCTTCCCATTATGGTAACTCAGCAGCACACATCCTTTCTGTTTATTTGCTGACTGCCATATTTTATATGTACATTATTTTTATTGTACACATATAAATATCAAATGCATATACAACTACTTTCTGGGTAATATAAAGAATTTCAGGTGATAATTTGACAGTGTTTTTTCATATGTTCAGTTCATAATGAGAAATGACTCTGTAACAGTTTGAGTCCCAGGCTTGCAATGACATACCTGCCCTAAAAGTGTACACAGCTAGCTTTAGGATTCGTGACCTTATGAACTTATTTTTGATTTATGTTTGTTTACTTTTATTAACCATCTATTGATGCAAAAATAGATACGATTTCTGAGTTTATTAAGCTTATTCAAGAACTATTTGTTGTTTATTTTTTTGAGTCAGGACCTCACTATGTAGACCTTGCTGGCCCCAAACTCATGGTGATCCTCCCACCTCAGCCTCTTGAGTGCTGATATTACAGGCATGTGCCACCATGACTGGCAAGCACTTCTTTTTTTAAAAATCTTTTTTATTTTAATGTAATACAGGTAGATATTGAGAAAGAAAATATAAAAACTTCTATCAAAAAACTAAAATTTCATAGGGTAATTAGAGAATAACAAATGATAAATATACTGTGTATCATGACCTTAAAAGAATATTTTTCAGTTGCTAATCTATCTCTCAGCTCATCTCTTAAGAAAACTATACCTTTTTGCATAAAACATTTTAATTACTAACAAAATATCTGACAATATTATTTTAAACAATTTCTTCCTATTTCACAATACCTATCAACATTTTGGTCCTTATTTACACTTTCAGTTTCTCATGTCAGAGAGACAATGTGATATTTGCACATGTGTGTTGGATTTATTTCACTTAAGAGTATGGTCTTAAGGTGTATCCATTTACCTAGAAATGTCTGAATTTTATTGTTATTTAGGGCTGAATAGTGCTCCATTATTTTAAAAAACACAACTTTTTAATTGATTTATTGGTTTATGGGCATTTGAGTTGTTTCCAAGATTTAGCTATTACAAACCCTGCTGTTATAAACACTGGTGTGCATATATCACTGTGGTATGATCCTTTTCAACCTTTTGGGAAGATAACCTGAAGGGCAATAGCTGGGTCAAATGGGACCTCTAGTCCTAGTTTTTTGTGGAATCTCCACACTGATGTCCCAGGGGTTGCCAGTCTACACTCCAGTCAGCAGTGGAGAATGGTTCCTTTTTTCCCC